CGAAGAAATAAATATTCTTAGTAGCGAATATTTATTATTCTAATTAATACGTATTTGTTATTTTGCGAGATTTAAAAATCGTTGGATTTTTTTTTACTAATCTAGTTTCGCTTAATACATCGAAACAATCGAATTTTTAAAGTAATTCGTCTTTAGTTTTACTTAGAACGTAGTTATAGGTATTCAAATTTCCCGCTCTAAAAAACTACTAAACTCCACTTATTAGAATAATACAGTATATGTAGTACTTCGCGTTAAAACATTAATATGCGCAACGTTTATGCGCACAGAGCGGAATATAGCAGAAATTCCACGAAAGAAAAGTAGTGTAGATAGGAAAAACGAATTCTGCAAAGTTTAATAACGTTCCGAAGCAACGAAGGATCCTCGTGTGTTACGTATTCTGCTTCGAGGTAAGAACCAAAGTGCATGACCAGTAAAAAATGCATATACCATTCAAACGTGACTTCTTTTTCTTTTTCCATATCTTTTACGGTCATTACGATTACTGAGATTATTAATTTTTATTCAAGCGTTAAACGCATGTAATGTAACGAAGCTGAGAGATCAGAAAATAAAACGAGAATTCTGTCATCGCTTCAAAAGTTGCACGCTACTGTTTCATACACGAGCATTTTTTAAATTTTTCTTTAATGTAGCTGTTAATATTTCATCGCAATCGAGTGAAATATGAAAGAGTACGTAAAAGATAGCTTCTATTAACGTCAAACGAAATTATTAAACACGTTTTTAACTATTAATCATGAAAGTGTGTTATCTAGACTTTTCATCGTGAAATTACATAACCTATATTTGACAGTATATTTTTCAACAGTATTACTTGTTAAAACGAAGAATTTTTTGAAAGACATAGGTTAGGTTAGTCTTCGTTTTAAAAAATTATTTTAGATTGTGAAATATTCGTTGATTTATAACTAACGCTTGGTATATTTTCACTTTACTTCAATACAAGCATAGGTATTGAGCTTAGGTTTCTTCAAAGACTAAACTACCCATACGCAGTCTTTAATTAATTATTCCATTCCATTTAACATATGAAACAGTGTATTACACCTCACATTTGTTAAACATCCTCATAAATAATGCATTATTACCGAGTCCTACGTGACAGCGTTTCATAAATTAAAAAGAAATTATTTATCTACCCATGTTCATCAATCGTTTGCGGTTCAAGTTACATTCCATGTTTCACTTCGCGACTGGACTACATTCAACAAACTGCCTGTCAAAAATACTTCACACGTTGTAATCTTATTCTTATACGACCACAATCAGCAGTATATCCACGTTAATATTTTTATATTACATGACGTTCTAATGTAATATAATAACTAGTAGACATAAAAGAAAAGAAAATTTCACATCTAATTTGACGTACATACATAGTATTGTTACTTTGATTCACACCCCTAATGGTCAGCGCCATCTTTTATCCCTGTATAGCACTAAGAGAATAAACGGGCAATAAAACATCTCACCACATGCAAGCTCGAAAAATTGCATAACCTCCTAACTCAAATCCAGCCAACTCAAGAGGCCTCTCAATCAGTAGCTAATTTCCTCCTTACCAGGACTGAATGCGTGCCGATCGTTCGGGCCGTGGGCGCTCGAAATCGCGATAATCGACTTTTAATAGAGTGGGGCTCGCGTGCCACCGCACGTTCCCACTCTTATGTCACGAACCAACCAACGCGGCCGGGCAGGATGTACGTCGAGCGTGTAAATCGAGCCTTTCCTTTCTTTCCCATTCGCACCTTATCCGTAGGAGGTCTGCGTGGCGAAGTTTACACCCCAGCGAGTCTAGGTCAGGAACGACGATGACGACAGCTACCAACGTTTGACCTTAAGGTCTAATTTTAAAATTCTCACCGACTACGTTTGTAAGAGAGAGACAGGCAGAGAGACCGAGATGCAACATACGAGCCACGGCCGCCACTCGACGAAACAACAAACATTATCGCACTTATCGACGCGACCGATATCGATACCGTAGAGCGCGTGTTCGGCACTGAGATTTTGCAGTCGATAACAAGAATCGAGCTGATCGACCGTGTCTGCTCCCTCTGTGTACTATGAATTACTCACAAGAAATCTAACCTACCTTTTTGTCCGGTGTTTGCAATGTTAGCTTTTCGACTTGTGTTTGTCGCGGTGCATTGCTTTCGTGGCGTATTTTTACAGACACTGGCTCCCTTCCATCGGGACGTTTCGTAATTAGAATACGAGTCGCGATCAAGTCAAATTTGAGGCGTGCTTCTCGATTTCCATGTTTACGTAACGAGTGCGCGCGATGATGATGCGTTTTATCATAAGCGGCATTCTTCGGGCTATAGTTAGAGGCGGATTAAGTGATAGTCTTAGCCGAGTGTGATACAAAAGTCTCGTTGAGTGGTGAATGAACTGATAATTGCTCCATTCTTTCATGGGAAACATGTTGACTACTTAAAGCTATCTTTATGGTTATGAAACTCAATTGTAGAGCGAAGTGAAGCTTTCTTGTGCATTTATATGCATCGAAGAGAAAAATTTCTACTTTGTATCTGTTTCTACTATCGAACAATACAACGATGTCGGTATTCAAATAAACTGTTGGTAAGAACTTCTACTTTACATTGTACGATAAAGAACCGGAATAAAATATCGTTTTTCTATTTGAAGTGAAAAATGAATCTTTGCGTATTTCCATTATATGTTTCACGTTAAATGATAAAGTAGAATAAGGTTAGGTTAGGTTTGAGACAAAAAGAAAGTGCAGCTACGAAAATTGTTTCTTCGAACAGCGTGCAGTGAGTGTTGTGATGTAATAATGTACTTTCATACTGTTTTCTTTTAAATATCAATTTATTCATACAACCCATCCTAACTTAAGAAATTTTACAACGATACAACTTTTACATTTCATCCTTTTATCCTAAAAGCCACTTTAAGAGAGTAAACGCAGCTACGTTCGTGTAATATCCAATTCTTGCTCCACGTTTTAAACACGAAGTATTAAGAATTTGGACAAGATTCAGGAATTTCGAACCCAAGGAAACCGAGATAATGAACGAGGAAAAAAGGATGGGGGGACGAGGAAACTAGATGAAACATGGAGTCCTGATGTCGCGACGCGAGCCAGGATCGAATTGGCAAGAGGGCTGGCTGCATTTATAAAATAAGGCGTCTATTATGTCGTCGCGATTTGAATTTAGAGGCGCATTGGATATGGTCTGGAGGAAGGGATAGATTCGCGGTTCGAAATAGCGAACGACCCAGGGTCATTGGATGCTGATGATTTTGAAGTACATCCAGATCCTTGACATTTTCTCAGTCATCGTGTTTATTCGAGTTGTTAATGTTAAAACTGTCCACGTGAGATATAAGTATAAAGTAGGTTTTCGAGTATTTTTAGGTTAGAAATATCTTTGTATCACTTTCTGATAATACGTTTAACCAGACATTTTTGTCACCTTTAGATGAGAGAAAATTGTGCTTAATCATGAATGAAAAGAAGACGAAAGCGCATAAATATGTACATGTATTTACTAGACAAGTTCCAACGAGTGTTCCTCTTATGGAAAAAGTGGAATATTTTGGATTATTTATTCTCTGCAAGAATTTCCACCCAGAAACCTCTGTTCAGATTAAACGAAGATGATTTATATTCCTCATGGATGAAAAGAAGCTGGAATGTTATAAATATGTATATGTACATATTAAGTAGGTTCTAATAAACGTCCTGCTCGAGGAAAAAGTGGAATTTTCTGTGAGTACATCGATCAAGATCAAGTCGATAATCGTCCTCTCTGTTAAGAGGCAGCTTTGACAGAGAAGGAAGATAAACGAGATTACACTCTTAATATCTTCGACATCCTCCACATCTTAAATCTAAAATTACATTATTTATCAGATTGATTTCGTGTACTGATCAAGTTATCGAAGCTATTACGGTCGTTGTTCTTCGTTAAGAAATGATTTCACGAGGAAAGAAACGCGTCCACGATCAACCTATTAACACCCTCTAACTAAATTAATTTTACGCGCCTGCTATCTCGTTAATATAACGATCTTCGATCCGCATTGAAAGAAAGCAACGGAAATGGAGCAACGAATTTTTTATACTTGAAATCATAACACAGTGGCTTCCAAAATTTCCCAGTCAGTCGGATTCTTCTGCGTTTTCGTTCTCAAAAATGGAGGAGCTTTAAAAACACACATTGCGTATTAAAGTTTACTTATATAATCTCTCCTTCAGCCGTCATTTTTAAAAGAAACGCAACTGATCGCATCGATTAACTAATCTCCTAAGAGCGTTCGTTGAGATTCTCTCAATTTCTACTCTTCAAAATACAGGAGGACATAGAATGTATAACAAAAAAAAAGCATAAAAGAAGACGTCAGCTCTACCAATTCTCCCCGTTTATCGTATCGTCGAAAACTAAAAATCACCAATCTCTCCCAATCATCGTAACAAAAATAAAATGGTTCCATCAGAATGGTAATAGCCGTGATGAAAAAGTTTACACCCCCAAACATGAAATATCGCGCATAAAAGCGATCGCTGGACAAAAAGCAACGGGAAATACATGTATATACAGGGTGCGGTCGAAAGTGTCGTACAATCAGGCAGGAGGTGTTTCTTTACGCAAAAACGAACAACAAGTGTAGAATAAAATTTCTTCGTCCGAGACTTAATTTTCTTTAGAAACTCAGATTATGGGTCATTTTTTAAATACAATTTAGTCTTTCTGTTTCCTTGAACCTGGTAACTCGTGCAAATCGCGTACACGTTACGAACACGATAGGCAATCGTTCGACCCAACCTAACCATACGCAACGGATATTCAAAGCCGATTTTCTCGAAAAGTAAGCCTCGAACGAACAAACTTCATTCTACATTTTCCCTTGATTTTCGCACGAGGAATCACCTGGTGCCCGTTTGTACAGTACTTTCGGCCGCATTCTGTATGTATGTACGTGAGTTGGTAAAATAGTCTCACCTCCTGCGTTTCAACGGCCTCTTTAACGTGTTCCGCGATCTCAGCCGCCTTCAGGCCGGTCTCGATGGGCGCGAGCTGCGAGTGGCGTCGCGCCTGGGCCTCGGTGGTCAGCTCCTGGTAGCAGGATTCCCCGGAGCCGCGTCTGCTGCCCGCGATGCACATCGCGCGCCGGAAAAGTCCCGCGACGACGGCGCAGAGGCCGCATTGCATGCCGGACGACGAGCCGGCATTGGTCCGTCGACGGGTCCGAGTCCCGCGGGAACCACCTTCACGTCCTTGGGACGCCAGTTTTTCTGTCTTCTTCTTTTCCCGCCCTTTTTTTTTTCTTAGCTTACTTCGAAATTTAATTTCTTCGGTACTTCTCACCCGTTCTTTTTCATCCCTCTTTTTGGTACTGTTGTTTATTTGCACGCCCAAGTTTTTCTGCTACCTTCTTCTTTCTTTCGAAGTTGTTCTTTTTTTTTTTTTAATCTTTTAAGGTTCGATTACTGGGCAATTCGATTTTATTCGAATTTGCATTTGTTCGGTCAGTTTTATGGTGTTTCTGTCTATTCAATTCCTCCCTTTTCTCAATTCTATCGTGCCTTTGGTGGTTCTAGCGATTTTTCTTTTATTTTGTGACTTCTTATACCTGGAATATACTGTCCATTCTTTCAAGTTTCTATTTTTGTGCAGTTTCTTATACTCGATACTATCTCGCGGCTCCTATCCTCCGGGTATCTTCCCCGCTGCTCTTCAAGTCTGAGTTTCTCTAATCTCCTCTTCGCTCGCTCTCAAGTCCTCTGTATTATTCTATTAACCGAACTATTTTACACTTTCTTACAAACCTCAGTCCCTCCGAGTACCTTTCTCGCTTGTCCATTTCTCTCAACCCTCGAGTTCTCAATTCCTTCATCAGCCTCACGATTCTGTCTTCCTCTGTTTCAATCCCCTTTTCACACTTTCCTCCGAACTTCGATTTCAAGCCTTCCAATAATCTCTAGATTCTATTCTCTCCTCTGTGTCCAATCCACCCCTTGTACTTTCACACTTTCCCTTCACCTTCTTCCCTCCAATCCTCTCCTACCCCGCATCCTTCCTCTTTCTTCCAATTTTCTATTCCTTCGCTAGTCTGTACTCTCTCTCTCTCTCTCTCTCCCTTCTTCCCCTGCACACTTTCTCCACCACTTGGTTCGCACGGTAATACAGCCCCGAAATGAAAACTGGTCACTTTGAGGATACAGTTGCCCGATTATCTTTCGCGCTCGAACGTCTCATCCCGGACACCGTGTCGCTTCATCCTGTCGCGATGATCGTGAAGTGATCGCGTGGTCGCGATTCGATCGATCCCGGCCCGCACAGCGCTCAGGCAAGCGTCTCTTCCGGCGACGATCCACCGCATATCACCTGCACGACGAGGAAAGTACATCGGAAACGGGTCTCGACGGATCCCGAGGTCGAGGGAGGAGCTCCGGCCGCCGTGCTCTCTCTCTCTCTCTCTCTCTCTCGAACAACTATCGATTGCCCGCGAATCTTACGACTTCGATAGCGGTCTAACGGCACCGCGGCTCCTCATCTTCGTCGATGGAGCACCGTGGACGGGACACAACGGAACGGGTGGACACTGATTGACCATTGACGGAGCACGTATAGGGACGTTGAAGGAGGCACACACATGGTTAATAGAACGGTGATTTTTGTGGTAGAATTGCACCCACGAGATTAGAGTTTCTTTAGAGAGCCGTGAGAGGTGTTACAACCCATTTGCATCGGTTTGAAGAAAAATGAAAAATAGACCCTTAACCCCTTCAACATACCTCGAGCCTGACTCGTGGCAGAGATGCGAGAAAAATAGTTAGATTAGTAAGAAGAATTAATTGTAATTCGAACTTTCGTTTCGATTTGTAAGACTGAGTATTACTGAATGTAATTAATCTGTGACAGATTAGTTTTTGTTACCTGATGCAGTACTGAAATAGAAAATGGCTGACGCTTAGATGCGCAGTCGGAAAAGTAATCATATGTTAAGGGGTCAGCACGAAATTTTAGTATTCTGCGATTATTTATTGTACGAAGGCGTACCAATGACGCAAATGGGTTAATTAAGGGGAGTCAGGAAAGAATATTTAGTGAATTTTTTTTTTTGGAGAAATGAGAGAAGACGTGAGATTTTTGTACTGCTTGGTATTTTTGTTTGGAAGGAGGAATTTGATTGGTGGCGTACTCGAGAGCAGTTAGTATGACTATTGCTAAACGTGTTAATAAGGGGAGCTTCTGGTCTAGAAGACTGAGGAAAGAAATTTGTTTTTCGAGAGGTAGAAGAAGATATTGGTACGAGACTTTTCGTCGTATGTTTGTTAACATTTGCAGTATCGAATAGTATTCTTTCTTTTTTTTTTTGAAGATAGAATTGGTTTTGTTGTGTACTGGACAATTTTCAGGATATATTATTGTTAAATGAACGAAAGTAAGATAGTTTTGAAATTTATTAAAATTTATCTTAATCTATTTTACTTACAGTTCAATTAAATCTCCTACCAACTTCAATCTAGTTCGTTGCACTGAGTTAAATTTTTCTACCGAACTTAAGTTCATCTCCAAATTCAATTCGTAAAACTTCGTCCATTCTTCGAATTCCGAATTACACCTTCTGCACATTACGATTTATTTCGCATGCTTCAAAGATGCAAAAAAAAAAAAACAGGTTTCTATTTTACCGACCCTCTAGACCAGAATCCCCCCTTAATTTCGAATCCAAAGGGCTCCTTCCCTGCGCGATGTGTGTGTGTGTGTGTGTCACGTGGGAACGTAGCCTCGGAATGTTAACGATTCCGCGCGTACCTTTCCGTATTTTGCTATACCGAAAAATTACACCGTCGGCTGAGAGTTTGGACGCACTGGATATTTCAACGAATATAAAAATCGTCATACTTTCTCGTCATTCACGTGTTCGAATTTTCAACGTGTGCGACACAACGTGAAACACAAGAAATACACTCTTGTATTACACTGTCAACGGATTAAACGTGTCTTGGAATGTAACATCGAAAATAAAAGACTGGTGAAATACACGTGAAACATGTGACAGTCGATGTTTCATAACAACCACCAGCAGTTTCAAATAAAAAAAATTTTTCCCATACCTCGTCACAATTTAAACGAAAAATATTAGGAAAGAAAAATAAAATTAAGTGACATACACGTGAAACGTATAGTGGTTGAATGTACGTAACGATTATCACAAATTCGAAGGAAAATAATAATACACAATTCTTCGCCGTACTTTGTCACTTTCAGCGCACAGTCAAAGGGTTAATCTATGCAAATTTCACGAAGCCGACGCGAGGAAACGCGCACGTGCTTCACGCGTCGGGAGGTGCCGAAATCTCGATCGCGAGCACGTTGTCGATCTTCCTCAGCACTCTTGTCGCTAATAACACGGGACGTCTGCGATACGTCAGGTAAACAATCTTCCCCCTGCAGCTCCTCTCAATAAGACACGACTAACCGTGGAGCAAGAAGCTCTCTCCCTTTCCCTTTCTCTCTCTCTCTCGCTCACACACTCACCGATTCCCGGGGAAGAGAAAATAAAAATGAGCAAGAACAAAGGCCGACACTCTTTGTTCCCTTCGACCTCGATTTTTCACCGAGACATTTTCAGCTTACGGAGCAGCAATTATAATCGTGTGGCGAGAGTGCGTTCTCCCGAAGAGCGTGTACGCGACGAGCAAGAGACACAGAGAGAAACAGAGAGAGAGAGAGAGAGAGAAGAAACGAGGCTGGGAAAAGGAAGACCACGGTTCTCTGAGCTCGTTTCCGCGCTTCCCAACGCTCGCACATCTTGTCGGTAGTGCACGATTGAAGGAAATATCATTAATAAACTTTCTAAGCACCAGAATTTTTTCAGACGAAAGTACGGTTAACCTGATAACCGACAGAGAAATAGGTAGCTCCTTCAGGCGAGACTCCTTGGTCCTTTGTTTTATTGTGACGTTTGGGTTAGAGGTTATGTTAAACCACGGTCACGTTTATTTACAGAGGGGATGAGTTTATTTGAGAATAAGTAACGAGACACACTTGATCGAGAACCGTGTCGGGTAACAGGTACATGTTTTAGTAACTTCCGTAAGCACGATTGTTTCTGGTACGAAGGTTCGAATTCCCGTGTCGCTCTAACGTATTTCCCGAAAGCAAAGAAACGACGAAGAGAGAAGCGACGTCAGAGTGTCTCGTCTTTCGACCCCGTCCACAGGCTCGTGAGATCCCATAACGATCACGTAAGCGTGAGAAGGTGTCTCCATCGATGACAGGAAGAGTTGCCAGAATGAGAACGATATCCTGAATGCGATACCTTCAGCGGAGCATAGAGGCTGGTTGCCGTCGCGGCGGAGTTCCTAACTAGTACGCGCGAGAAGAATGCCGGGGTAACGCCCGCGTACAGATATTGTAGCTGGTTCCGCACCGAGACGAGCCTAGGAGCTTCATGAGCGCGTGTTACGGGCTGGCCCCCGGGCACCGAGGCCCGACGAGGCCGCCGTCGAGGGCTCGAGCACGAGGCCGCCTGTCTCAATGGTTCCTCTGTCGTACACGTTTCCGTAACTGGGGGGGTCAAGTGTGGCAATGGGGTGCGAGAGGAAAACAAAAGGAACAGAGAGTAATCCCACCGATAGATAGAAGAGAGGTGTAGAGAACGGGGCCGGAAGCGTACCACCCTTATCACCGACTATGCACGCCGGCCGGCCGCTGTGCATGCACTGAGCCACTGGTTTCGAGCGACGAGCATTCGGCCGACACTCAAGTTCGACCGTACTCGATTGTTTCCGCCGCAGTTCGGCCTCCGTCCACCGCCTGGCCACGCTTTCCCGGTCTGGCGGGAGCTGTTCTCGCACTGCGCGTCGAGCTCTCGTCGCGAGTGTTTCGTACTGAATGAATATAGCAAGATTGTCCGTGAGTTTGATGCTGCTGCTGCTGCTGCTTCGATACACCACGACGTTTCCCTGTTCGGGAAATAGAGAGAGAAAGAGAGAGGGAAGTCGGTCGTACGCGACGAGAGAAGATCAATAACGGATCCCTCCCTCTTTTCATCGGGCGTACGCGCCGGCCGCGGCGACGTAGCCGCCACGTATTTACACACGCACGTCATGCGAGCTTGAGCCTCAACCATTACCCTCCCCGCCCATCCCACCCTGATATGAATGTTCAAGGGAAGGGTGCGGGCGAGGATTTCGCGGTCGTAAGACGCTTGCAAAAGATGGCTCCGTTTATTGATCTCCCTTACCGATTTCGCTCGGGAGGAGGAGTATGGAGAGGTGTGCTGATAGTACTGGGATGACCTCCCGGAGCTGGCTAGACCACCAACGGAAGTTGTATTGGTGTGTGCTCGCGGCGAACGAGGTGCAGGTGGGATGGGGCAGGTGAATTGGACGTTTGATGGTAGACGATATGCAGGACGTTTCGGAGTCGTTGATTAGTAGATTTCGGGATATTCGAGTGGACGTATTCTAACCCTTTAAGGGGATAGATACACCTCAAGTGTTCAGGAATACATATATTTCTGTGACCTTTTTACCGAAAACGTACTTTTTATCATTCAACAGAGTCAATTTTACAAATGTTATTAACAAATACTGAAAAATAACAATGATTCGAATGTTTTTACAAGACATGTACTGTGATATAAGTTTTCATAGTACGATTATGTAAATCTTCTATAGTTTAAATAAACTGGAAAAGGACTATTTGTTTTTTCAAGCAAATGAGAATAAATCCAGACTTCGAGTTGGTTCATTTTCTCCAAATAGACGTGGAAATTCTTAACACGAAAATTCGCTGGAAAATTCTTTAACGTGGACATTTTTAAAAACTCGATTTTGCAACTACACCTAGGTGTATATAACCCCTTCAAAACCTAGAGGACTCTGTATACATCTGAATAAATGTCTTACAGTATACACGGTGAATCTTTTTGAAACGAATGAACACTATCTCTCATCTCTCATATCGATTTTACATAATAAAGAGTCGAAAGACTTAGCAGCGGTAATTGTTATCACAAGTTACACGTCGTTCGTAGTAAGTATTTACCTCGAAAACGTTCACAGCACGGAAATGAGGCAATCTCGTTGCAGAGTGAAAATTCGAGGGAATTTTTCGATTTGCGAATCTGTAACGTCGGTGTCCTGTCCCTTGGAAATTCAGGGTATCGATAATCAGCGCATGACCTCGGGTTACATTCCCGGACATACTGCGAAAAAAATCATGAGAAAGCGTTTCTAAGCCTTACTTAAGCTGCTTTCACAAGCTATTACCAACTGTCACTACTGAGCAAACTGTTGAGTTCGAATATACCTACATATGGTACATCAACTAAAATTCTTTTCTTCGTTACTGTCAGCTCTAACGTGCAACAAATTGCGTCGATACTTACTGATTTTACAGTAATTCTGTGTATACCGGGTGTTGGAAAAGAGTGCTACCAAAATGGTGTGGCATATTTAAAAGGTGAAATAGGTGAAGAGATATTTTGTTACTTATTAGGCAAAATTTTATATACGTTATTTATAGTGATTGATAAATAAATGATTTGTTATTTATATCTTTGTGTATACTTGGACTTTTGGACCATGCTATGGAAACTCGACTTTGGATCATTTGGATCATATGGAAATTTATTCAGAGCGAATTTGTAAGATTCTGTAATACACCAGAGATATTTGAAAAAATTTGTTGAATTACAAGATCGATAAATGCTAGCTCCTTTACAATTTTATAATTTAAAGTCTTATTAAGACCTAGGTATAAATAATAATTGAATGATAATAAACTTTTAAGTTTTTCTAAAATGTTAATAAAGCATTTTGAGGTATAAGTTGATATTTCTTCATCCATTTTGACCTTCTGAATTTTCTTTACCAGTTTGATCTGAATTCCTTGAAGTACATTGTAATAAACATGCAATTAATTTTAAAATTATACACCAGACAAATTCCGCTGGGTTTTCGACAGCAGAATGCAACGCGATATTCTTTTCCCTTGAAATACCGTCCATTCCAGGGCGATTAATATTCAAATCGAATTGTATACAATGCTTCCGCCCGTCGTTACGACGGGCATTAAACGAATTATGCCGCGGTAGGTCGTAAAATAAGCGAAAGCACCGTGTCGGGGGCACGTTCTAACATTCGTTTCGTTGATTTGCTACCCCGCTTAAACTGACGTACAGAAAAAGCAAAGAGAGTGAAGAGAGAGAGAAAGTATGTGAGGAAAAAGAGAGAAAGAGTGAGTGGAGAGAGAGAAAAGAGAGTGAGTGAAGAGAGAAGAAAAGAGAGTGAGTGAAGAGAGAAAAAAGAGTGTGAGAGAGAGCGAGAGTGTGAGTGAGAAAACAGAAAGAGTGAGTGAAGAGAGAGAGAGAGAAAAGAGAGTGAGAGATAGAGAGCGTGTGTGTGTGAGTGAAGAGTGAGTGAAGAAAGAAGAAAAGAGTGAGTGAAGAGAGAAAAAAGAGTTGAGCGAGAGAGAGCGAGAGTGTGAGTGAGAAAACAGAGAGAAAGAGTGAGTGAAGAGAGAGAGAAAAGAGAGTGAGAGATAGAGAGTGTGTGTGTATGAGTGAAGAGTGAGGAAAAAGAGAGAAAGAGTGACTGAAGGGAGAGACAGAAAGAGAGTGAGTGAAGAAAGAAGAAAAGAGAGTGAGTGAAGAGAGAAAAAAGAAAGCGAGAGGGTGAGTGAGAAAACAGAGAGAAAGAGTGAGTGAAGAGAGAGAGAAAAGAGAGTGAGAGATAGAGAGTGTGTGTGTATGAGTGAAGAGCGAGGAAAAAGAGAGGAAGAGTGAGTGAAGAGAGAGAGAAAAGAGAGTGAGAGATAGAGAGTGTGTGTGTATGAGTGAAGAGTGAGGAAAAAGAGAGAAAGAGTGACTGAAGGGAGAGACAGAGAAGAGAAAGGGAGAGTGAATGAAGAGAGTGAGAGTGAAGGAAAAAGAGAGGAAGAGTGAGTGAAGAGAGAGAGAAAAGAGAGTGAGAGATAGAGAGTGTGTATGTATGAGTGAAGAGTGAGGAAAAAGAGAGAAAGAGTGACTGAAGGGAGAGACAGAAAGAGAGTGAAGGAGAGAGACAGAGAAGAGAAAGGGAGAGTGAATGAAGAGAGTGAGAGAGACTGTGTGAGTGAAGGGAGAGAAAGAAGAGAATGAGAGAGAGAGAGAGGGAGTGTGTGTGTGTAAGTAAAGCTAAGGAAAAAGAGAAAAAGTAGGGAGAGACCAGAGAAAGAGAGACGTTCAATGTCTGGATCTCGTGGAAACAAGCGCGATACAATTTGCACCCAGGGAAATAAATACTCAAATACGACTCTGTTTTTATTTATTGCACAGACAGATTTGTTTTCCCGCGAGATAAACAAAAACAAAGTTATGTGTATATACATATATATATACATACACATCGAGTATCTACATACGCGACGGATTTACGGTATATTTACAAAGTATCCTCTGCCGACGAATTTATAGTAACGCTGCTATCTCGTTCTCTGCATTTTACACCGATACCAGAAACAGCTAGATGAAAAATCGATAAACGTTTCCGGTTCTACATATGCGATTCGACAGATAACGTATTCACACACTATCGAGAAACGCAGATGCACTCGCCTCTGTCCGTAGGAATAGAGTACATACATATGTACAGTTTGCACGCGTGTACGTATGACGGTGACTTTTATCTCGATGAAATGAACGTTGGAAACGTGTTAAAGACACCCTCTACACGATGTTAATTCGTGATCGACTTTGTCCTCTCTCTCTTTTTTCTCTTCTTCTTTTATTCTGTTGCGGGCACTGTTGGCGCTTAATGTGTGTACACGTCCGAAGTCGTTTTGCAGAGATTTACAAGGGTTGGAAAAAGTATTTGCACGTTCCTCTCTCTTCTGGTTTCGATGTTTGACTGTTGATTAATTACGCTCGTGCGTGTGAATTTGTTTGCGTTTTGCAGGTACTTCAATTTGTCAGGTGTAGTTTGCGGAAATGTTTTTTTCTTTTAATTAGACAAATATCTGCGTGAAAGCAGCGGAAGAGTAAAGGAAAATACTTTCTCTATGCGCTTTGTTTGTAAATTGCAAGATTCAAACGTTTGGGAATTAAACAATTTGGAATTGGTGATATTTGAAAAGTGTGCTAGTTTTAATCTTCGAGCTGTAAGTTATAGTATAATACTTTTTATTAATATTTAATACATTAGATTCATTTATGGTACAATTTTATCGATATTTATTGCAATATAACATTTGCATAATAACTATTTACCGTTCTTAGGCGCGTGTACCTTTTTAATACTGATTCAACTTGCTCGAATAAAAGTATTACCGAAGGAAACAGGTGTAATATTTTCACGTTGTAAAACTCGTATCTCACACTACAAATAGAAAGATAATAAAGAGTGTGTTCCGTCTCTTATGATCAAGACACGGCTGCATTAAACCAGCTCTAAAGAGATTCAGTGTCAATATTTGTGACGATGTTCCGTAACTACCGTATCTAACACTAAAACAGGTGCTTTTAGAAAAGTATACTAAAAATACACCCCAATTGCAATCTTTTTTAAGCAATAGATACGTTGGAGGCTCTGTGATAATAGGAAACAGCATTGAGAGTCTTAGAATAATCTTCAAACAGATCCAAAAAATCGCGAAAATTTCACTATTATCATTATTCAACATTCTCACATTCCTCTATTTACTGTAATATTATA